TGTACCTTTACTGTACTACACCTCAGAGGTACATACTGTACTTTTACTGTACTACACCTCAGAGGTACATATTGTACTTTGAAAACAGGCTGTGTTTTCTTTTTAGAGATGCGTGCTTCTCACAGGACAGCGATGCTACAAACATCTGGTGACCTTATAGAATATGATGCATTAATGTAGATTAAACCAGACAACAGGATATAAAAGAGTTACAATGCTACGGACACAAAAACATTGATCAGTAATATTAATCCAGAAACATCAGATACAACAGGAACAGGCTGACGGGGAACATTTTCCTGCACTATCAATACTTTCCCCCCACAATTTCCTGGTACTCATCGGCCGTCATATATCTGCCAATACCAATATATTTGTGATGAGCTAAAATCAGCCAATAATATTGGTCCTGGTCAGGAGCTCGCAATGAGCTACATTATGCAAAATGAACTTGCAAAGTATCAAGTAACTGCAGTCAGGAGGTACATGTACTGAAGTACAAGAATAAAGCTCCTAAATCAAACTACTCAAGTTCAGATACTATAAAAAGGTATGCGATATCTATTCCATCCAATTAGTCGATGGATCTCATCAGCAGATGTGGAAAGTGAAAGAACACAGTTAAAAACATAGATCATTTATTAAAAGAACACATGCTGCTACAGCTGCTGTCAGAACCACCGATACTGTAACAGTAGGAGAGTTACAATAATAATATTTACTGAGGGTCACATCTCCTCATCTCCACAGGAATACAAAACCACACCACGTCCTCACACGGGGAACATGCGCTCTTTAAAAATAATACAAGTGTGTGTGTGTGTGTGTGTGTGTGTGTGGGCCAGATCCTCAGGGCTCTGTGGTGTTTCTCCAGTCAGTCCAACGAGCTCCGTTTGATCACTGGCTGAATACTGTTCTCGTGGTTTAGGGTTCAATTCCCACACACACACACAATGGATTTTTTTGCTCGTCTTGTGTCACGTCACACTCAAAGGGTTTGATAGAAGGCTGACTGTGCCTTTGTTCGTCGCAGCACAGAGCACATCCGTCTGCTTTTTAAATTGTTCGCAACAAGAGAAAATGTTTCCAGAAAACAGGAAATAAACAAAAAGGGGAAAACAGCAGGAACGACAGAACGTGTTTAAGCAGGAAAAGAAAACCAAACGAGAAGGAAGAGTTGCTGTAAATCAAACCTTCAGGACAGAGTCAGTAACTGTTTCTTTTTTTGCACAATGCACATGAGCAACTCCTCCAAACAACACGAAGACAGTCAAAGCTCAGATCAAGAGATTCTGGCTGCACACACACTGCTGAGGCACTGGAAGCTGAGCAACACATGCGGGTGGAAAAATATATTTATCTTTTATCAATTCAGCATCTCAGTGCAGAAATACAAATCATAAAGCATTTCATTTGTCTGGCAAAACATTTTGAATTTTATTATCATGTTCAACAGGGAACCTTTGGATTTAATTAATATGCACCCTGTGTCCAGAAACCAGGAAACAAAAATGATTGATGTTAAAATCATAAACTTCAAAGCAGAGCATTAAATCTGTGTTTTCAAACAGACTGCAGTACATCTCACAGTACAGTAAGTTCAGGACCAGGATGGAGGAATCAGCACTTTGGAAACAAATCAAAAAAGGCCATAAAACAACAACAACACCTGCTACAACTACGAGGTGTTCTTCTCCTGTTAAAACTAACGCTTCTCATTCAAAACCAGACGCGTACAATCAATGAATCGAAGCCAAACGTCTTCATAAAAGCGCTTCAAGAAGTCAAGCCACAAACAGGAACCTTTACAAAAAATAAAAACTGAAACATTCAAGAATAATTGTCAAGCACAGAAGTCTCTATTGCAAACAGACATTTCAGCTGCTACATTGAGTTTCAGTGTTTCAGGGTGTCACTGTTGTTTTGATGTTTGTCTTTGAATCCAAAGTTTTCATGGTCCTTCTTCACTGACTTTAGGTCAGTCTCCATTTGTAAAGTCCCCAAAAACACAGTCAGAAATCCTGAAAGATGTTCTCCAGGATGTGTCCGTTTGTCCACCACCCCGCTGTGAATACTGCTAAAAGCAAAAAGCAGCTTTGTGCTTCTTCTGTATGCTAAAAAAACCCCACAACAACATCAAACCTTTTTGCAAAGTATCAACACTTACGCTTCAGTACAAATATTAACACGGTGATCTGGATGTTTGGTGGCAGAGCTCTGGGCGGGGCACTGCTGACCAAACATCAGAAACAACTACAAGTATTCTGCATCTTCCTCACAGCACCGAGAACGGCCGATCGTGGCTCAGCTTTGATCTGCACAGGAGGGAAAGCTCTTCTTGGCGAGTAGAAGTATTCTTATTGGCCAAGATTTTTTTTTCCTGTGCAGACGTGTTAAAATGTAGATCATACCACAAACACCTTCCTCCTCCATCGCTTGAGTTGTGGAAGACTGGGATTTTAGTTTGTCGTGACCTGCTCTCCATCACAGCGTGTGCATAGCTTGTTGTAGAAAACAAAAAGCTACGGTGAAATGTTCGGTCGGCATCAAAACACAGGCGGAAAGAAGAAGAAGTGATAAAACAATGAACTGATAACGTTCTGAAACAATCAGTACACAGACTGAACGAAGCACCAAAGTAAAATGAGGCTGCTCGTGTTCCTCACTGAACGTTACAGCTATGGAAGATTATCTTTGCTCCATTAGATATAGAGTTAAAGCTGCACCGGGCATTTGTGAAAACACAACTCATCTACGTTCTTGAGGAAATGAAGAAAACCACCTGGTGGCAAAAGTGACCAGGAAACACGGGATAATAAAGATGGGCTCCCACACATTGCTCTATAGCGCTACTAGTGGCCAAACAACACCGGAGTGCCTTTAAATAGGACGCCGTCTTCAGTTTCTCGCTCCCAGAAGCTGCTGCAGGACTTTCATTACGTCTTGCTGCTCTCTCACGGCCACTAGACTACAGATGCCTGGTGCCGCTTATTAGAACAGAGATAATCTTTGCACTCGAGTCAGTGGTCATAGCTTTTCAAGTACACTAAAAGCAGACAGTTGGAAGCAGGAGAGCAAGTGAAAGTTGCTTTTTTTTCAAAACACGGATTTATTCTGAATAAAAGCACCCATTTTACTTCTGCTGCCCTCAAGATGCCATTGAGCAAGGCATCCGACCCGTTCATTCTGTGACTCTAGAGCTGATCGGGGGCCAGCGGTGGAGGGCTGTGGTCGTCCTCAGCAGCATATGTTTCTGTTTCACACTGACTCACACACTTCTCAGTCTGAAGGCTTCAAACTGTACGTGGATAAACGTAGACGCACGTACATTCATACCGCATGTGTTCAACATCTGTTTGTATCAGAGTGGCTATAAATCAGCTGAAGATCGCACTGGACAACGTCACGTGAGACTTCAAGCTTCTCTGCTGGGATTCATCAAAAAGGCCTCAACAGGAGAATCCAAAAAAAAGGTTACATACATAAGCGGCGCGTACATACGGCGCGTACATACGGCGCGTACATACGGCGCGTACATACGGCACTCGGAGCAGAAGCTGCTCTGAGAACTTCCGTGGTCTCCTGACTCGTATTCGTCTCCTGCGACGAACTGAGAATATGAGTTACTGAATGAAAAACTGCATTAACACAACGGGTGACTTGTTTTTTGTTGACATTTTAAGGTTGTCGAACACAAAGCAGAGCGGATGTTGCAGAATTCAACCGAAAGGCATTAAGCGTTGAGATTAAAACATGACGAATCTCAATAACAGGAGTACTTTCTGTCATTGCTGTGACCCAACCATCATCCTCGATCTCTCTAAAGGTCCCGACTTTGCCGTCCTTTAATATCCGCTGACAGCGTGTGACAGCGTGTTACATCTGTCCTGAAAGAAGCCGTTGTTACAAAGTGTTCACTCTGCCTTCACTCCTCGTTCCTCTGATTGGACAAAGTGGCTGCAATCATTTGATAATCCAGCTGTTGGTGGAACAGCTGTTTAACAGTACGTTAGTTTACTGTGTGAACACGACGGTTTAGTCAACACATACGAAGATGTTTGGAAATACTAGAGATACTATTTCAGGTTTTGTGAGATCAGAGTATTTGAAGTTTAACCCAAAACATGCTGACCGCTCAATTTACTGTCTTGTGACTGAGGCGGTTTTATCTACGTTTCAGTCGTAGGTATCTAAGATCTTTGATTTTTTCCTTGCTCATAACAGTTACTGTCTACACTCGTATTTATCAAATCTGAGCGACCACAAGGTGATTAAAGGGACGAGAAAGACAAAATATATATATTTTTCCTGTTCTTTTTCTAATATTGGCTTATTTCTTATGTAATACTGGACACTTGCTGAGGCCTCTAGAATCAACTAGTTCGGATGAGTGGTTCCCAATGTCCCCCCCCCTTGTGACCCCATCAGATAAAACCACGGCTGCAGTCCAATAGTCTTTTTGAGTGAAATGAGCTGGAAGTATCTAAGTGGCAGCCATGATAAGAGCTCTAAATGCTCAGAAAAGGATGCTTTGATGCTTCCTTTCTCATCTCCTTTAGCAGAGGGAACGCTGAAGGATCCTTCACTAAAGAAGAGTAGATGATGCCGTCCCACAATTCCTTGCGGCAGCAACATTTCATTCTGTTTTGGACAGGACTCCTGACTCGAATTGTACATTCTCGGAGTGTTATGAATAAATAATAATAAAACGTGTAAAGCAGTCGGATTCTTCTTCTTACGTCCCAACGACTTCTCCTTCACAACCTTTTGACGTTTTCATCAAAGGAACAGTTTGACTAAAACAGTGACTTCTAGAGGCCTGAAGAGGTGAACGTCTGAAACACTTGTTTTGTTTTTAAAAAAGAAAAGCATCTTTGTCATCCCATTAATCAAACAACAGATGTGTTTCTCTTGCAGTTACACAATAAATAAAAGGAATCGATGTGGACTTGATGTTGTTATCTGGATATATGATATCAGTAACAGCCTCTCTGTGGCGACCGCTAACTTCTGAACATCTGCATTGGAGACGGAGTTTGAGGGTTTTCTTCCTGATGTTCACAGAGCTGTGTGATGTATTCAGTTATGAGTCAACAGAGGGCAGAGGAAGAGGAGACTGAGAGTGTGGGGGGGGGGGGGGGGGCAGGAGGTTTGCTGCAGTGCTCTAATGATCGTTCACTGATCTCCTGCAGCCTCTTCTCCTCTCACCCCTCGCCCACCTCTCCTCTCCTCCTTCCCTTTCCTCTCCCCTCCATCGACTCCGTGTCTTTGATTTCCCCGCATACTCTATCGATCGTCCTCTCCTGATTCCACGCTCGTCCGCTCTGATTAATGGAAGTCTGCTCGGCCGTCGGGTTCACGAGTGAAACACCTCTTCTGAACACTCCTTCAGTGAACTTTCTCGTACAGATGAAGCCAAAGCGTGAGGATAAAGTGGGATAACCACACCTACACCTGTGACGGTGCTTCCTTCCTATCCGTCTCCCTGTAGCCGCCATGTTGGGAAACCTGGAAAGTCGTCCCCGACAGGAGATATCAACTGCTCAGATTCTCTGTCGGGGAAATTGTGCTGTAGAAGCGGCGTTATGATAAGTGCTGATTTTACACGATAACAGGCCAAAAGCATTAATAAACACGTGTCTGCTGTTTCTCTCCACACTACCTTGTCTGGTGTCAGGACTCTGTGGTCATGGGTTCATTGTCCCAGTCTCTGCTTCTAAGAAGTTCTTGCTGTTCCAGCTCAGAACACGTGTTCATCATCCACCTGGTTCTGTGAGTAATCGCTCCAGCTGCTGCAGTGACTCGTCTCCTGAAAGACGTGGGTGGCAGGTAGAGACTCCTTGTTGTTTCGGGGGATCAGGGTGACTGCGAAGCGTGGACGGATTTAGGAAGACTGGGAGGTGAAGAAGGGATCAGATACGGATCTGGTAGCCGTCGTTGAGAGTGCTGAGCTCCGGAGGTTTCCTCTCCACCGAGGCCGGCCTGATAGACAGACAGAGGGTCAGACAGACAGACAGAGAGACAGTCAGAGAGACAGACAGACAGAGAAACAGTCAGAGAGACAGACAGACCGAGAGACAGACAGACAGACAGACAGACAGACAGTCAGAGAGACAGACAGACAGACAGACAGACAGAGAGACGGTCAGAGAGACAGACAGACCGAGAGACAGACAGACAGACAGAGAGACAGACAGACAGACAGACAGAGAGACAGACAGACCGAGAGACAGACAGACAGACAGACAGACAGACAGAGAGACAGACAGACAGACAGACAGACAGAGAGACAGACAGACAGAGAGACAGACAGACAGACAGACAGACAGACCGAGAGACAGACAGACAGACAGACAGACAGACAGACAGACAGACAGACAGACAGAGAGACAGACAGACAGAGAGACAGACAGACAGACAGACAGAGAGACGGTCAGAGAGACAGACAGACCGAGAGACAGACAGACAGACAGACAGACAGAGAGAGAGACAGACAGACAGACAGAGAGACAGACGGTCAGAGAGACAGAGAGACAGACAGAAAGACAGACAGACAGACAGAGAGACAGTCAGAGAGAGAGACAGACGGACAGACAGACAGACAGACAGACAGACCGAGAGACAGAGAGACAGACAGACAGAGAGACAGATGGTCAGAGAGACAGAGAGACAGACGGTCAGAGAGACAGAGAGACAGTCAGATCACCCAGAGCGTTGCAGTACAAACCCTCTGGTTCTGGTTAACATTGCCCCCTAAATGTTACACAGAAGAACTAAACTCTCTATTTTCATTCACTCTTTTCTTCCTGTCCTCTCTTCCTCTCCACCTATTTCCAGCCTTTCTTCTCTCCTCCCGTCTTCCCTCCTTTCCGTTTCCTCTCTACTGATGTCATCTGCTCCCTCCCTCCCTCCCTTCCTTCCCTAACTCCTCTCTTCATCCTGTTCTTGACATCTTGCACTCCGTCGTTCCTGCTTCGTTGCTTTCTGTTCTTCTACCTTTTCTCTGCACAGAGAGAAGTTCATAACGAAGTTCTTAAAATCGATTTGAATGTTGTTTTTAATCTACTTATTTTCTAAATGTTATTCCCCTGAGTTGAGTGCTGTGTTGTGTTGTGTTTGTTAGTGTACAGCAGGCAGTGCTGGTAACATCGTATCATGCTGCTAGAACAGCGCTGTGCCTTTAAAGCAGCCGTTGAAAACCAGCAGCAGATTGCAGCGCCGTCTCTGCTGGAGTCGGCAACACGTTGTTAAGTGTGCGAGTGCTGCGTTGATAACAGTAATAGCTCTTTAAGTGCTATGGAGTGGTTTGAAGCGCTGCTCTGCTGCTCCGAGGCGTCACGATCACTGAAAAACGTTTCTCTGCACCGATGAGACAATTCGCTTTTATGAAGATCGAAAACCACGACGAAGAAAAGGCAGTTAGATTCACACAGTTTCTCTCTCATTGTCTCTAACTTGCTGAACAGATATCACCGTGTCTCTGGTCTCTGGTCATCACACTTGAGGGTTCAAACCCCTCAATCAACGTTGGAGTGTGTCATCCGCACACCTGGATTCATAACAGCTCACCCAGAACTCTCCTGCGTCTTAGAATAAAAGCAGCTTCTTGCTGTGTCATATTTTATGACTTTCCTAACTAAACTAAACTAAATTAGACAGCTGAACACATTTCTTCTTCCTTGTTTCTTGGTATAATGTTGTCTTTCTGGCTTCCACACTGACACAATATGTGAATGAGTAAGGAAGAAGTATGTGGAATAAGTATAAAAGTGTGTTCGTGATTTTCCCCCAAACCTCTCCAGATAAATCTTTCAACAATCATCATCGTTCATTTTCTGCCGATCGACTGATTATTGCAGCTCTCTCTTAAAAATGACACGATTTAGATTATTAGAATCATCACAAAGGAAAACAAGTAAAGAATATAACTTTGAATATAAACGTTGACGCTCAAGATATGCATTACATTTTCATTTTAGATATTAACTCATGCTGAAATAGCACACACACACACACACACACACACACACACACACACACACACTAATACACACACACACTAATACGAAGCTCATGTTGCTGAGATAATATTTGCGAATAAAACTTAAATATCAACTTTAATATTTCATGTTTTTACAGCTGAATTGCATCTGCAGTTTTATGCTTTATTGTCTCAAATGCTCTAATAACTGGTTCAGATCTACATCATTTGAGGAGATGATTTGATTTAAGATGACTGAAAGAGCCTCCTTTTGAAGTTTTTAAAACGCACGCACGCACACGCACACGAATAATTAGACGGTTAATCCTGCTGGAGCTTCTCATAAGAAAGGTCATCACAGTGCCACGTCAGATGGCAACACCGGGAATGTGACTAATTCTGCTGCAGCGTGTGTGTGTCTGTGTGTGTGTGTGTGTGTGTGTGTGTGTGTGTGGTGACTCTGCAGTGCGGCTGGGCTGCAGCTGTCGTCCAAGTCAGATTGTGTTACATCCTACCACACAGCTGACAGCACACACACACACACACACACACACACACACACACACACACACACACATACAGCATCCAGTGTGTGAGTCAAGGTCTCCCTGCCATGGAGCTGGAGTGGTGATGGTGAGTCACTCTGTTTTTAAGAGCTGCTGACTCCAAACTAAGAAAACAAACTGTAGAAATGAACTATAGGAATGTATTAAATCAAGAGTAGAACCTATTTGAAGACATTCACACACTTAAACTGAACTATATATATGTAATAAAATGCAATTATTCTTCATAACTACAGGAATGTATGAATACAAACCCATAAGAACCCAAACCCAAGGAAAATCATAAGACAGACTAAATGGAGCACATGGAAGACATTTCTGATCATATTTTCTAAACACTGCCCCCTAGTGCCAAAGATCTGACATGTTACATGTCACATTGGGCGTTTATGTATAAATGTTTTACTCACTTTAAAACCAATCAACTTGACCTATTCTTTGCCTTTTTATTTGCATTTCCACAACACATATCAGAATTATAACTTGCATGTTTAGATTTAACCAAAACATCTTTTCAGCTTTGTTTTAGAGACAGAAGTGTGTCGTTGGATGATCTTCAGTGCATCGTTCATTCAAACACACACTGTAGAATATAAAGAAATCACTTTGAAGTATTACTAAATAGGATCGTTGAATCTAGTTTGTTTGTGTGTTGTATTTATTGATATGCACATTTTTCTTTCATAATTTCATAATTAATTTGACAAAAAATGTAATCAATTTGAAAATGTTTTTGTTGAAATGTCTTTTGAATTCAACAACAGAACATATTTTAATAAAAAACAATTGAATCAGTTAAATCTTTTCAATCAATTGTTGTTATTGTGATAAATACTTGACCTGAAGAGCAGAGCCATGAAGAGAAAGGGAGAGGAGGAAGGATCATACCAGCATCCACCATTAAAACACTGGTGAGCTCACTGGTAAGTTTGGAAACCGGTCATTATTTTGATTCTTTCTCAGTCAGAACATGCTGCTAAAGCTATGACAGAGCATACTGTAGAGTACCCCCCCCCCCT